ATGACATGGAGATGACGGCTTTCGAAAGAGAATTCTGAAAATAAATGGCTACATAAGTTGTATATATTTTCTCATTGAGTTCCACAGCTCTTAAAAATCCAAATATTCTGAATGGTCCCAGAAATCCACATCTACATTGCATAGAAAATAATGCACAAAAATATTCCTTCTTATACTCCTTTGGTAAATAAATTTCGTATTCTTAAAATTCTGTACTTGAAGGAAGGGTATCTAACGGTTAAAGAAATATTTTCTAATTATGACGGTTTTTACTACCGTAAAATGTGCATTCATATAAAAACTTATCTGTCTATTTCTTAATGCCACTTAGAAAGTATACAACTAGATCTACATTCATTGCAAATCCGTATGAGCACTAATGGACCTCTTACTCATCAGAAAGGAAAGATGCGCATTTCGTTTGGCAGCATGTATACAACATGCAGTATGGAAATATTAAAAACTCGAGTGTAACGGTTGGTAGGGTAAAACAAATTATTCGGCAATTTATAAACGCTTTTGAGTCTGAAAGATACTCTTTCTTCAAGCATGCAGCGATACCATTCGGTGTACTATGAATGATTCCTTACAGCGATAGTTGCCTTCCACAAGCTGTATGTGAAAAAGAGTCTCTTTTATAAGAGGAAGACTGGATATGAACATTTCGCGCATCAGACAACCAGACCTCATCCCTGATTTGTTACCGCCAAGGCAAGTAATTAAAGGTTAAGAATTTAAGCTTAAAGGTTCGGCAACTTAAACATTTTGTCTCCGGCCCGTTGCCTGTCGGGTGCGATCGATTACCTAACTGGGATAAAGAAGGCTTTATCAATCGCCTTACTGTTAGTCACTGTAAGGCTGCCTGTGCGGCCCCAGACCGAGCTCCAGTACACAACAAGGCAATTCTTTCTCGTAATGCCATTGGTGAGCACTCTTTTATCTAATTTATCCAAATATGGGCTTCCCGATAAATAGAATTTTAATGATAATGCGTTTTTTTCCGAAACGACACAAAAGCTATGCCGAGATATTTCGATTCTGATTCCTCGGGCGGTCTTCAGACATGCGGTTAGGGCCAAAAACAGTTAAATTTGTGGCAGGAGTTTCCTTGGTAGTGGTCTCGGATACAGCAAGCCGTAGGTTTT